TTCACTTGCAGCGCTGGATGGTGGTTATTCTGTTCGTTTTAAATCTTTATATATTCGGTTTGTACGAATGAAATCGGCTCAAATCATACCTGTACCTGGTGTGTTACAACGCCATGCAATTTACCGAATTGGAATGTGTGTGCAGAGAACCGGTTGGATGAATATGTTTTCTCTTGATGATGAAAATTTTTCAGGCCAAAACGTAAAACAGAATGAAACACAGAACGAAATAAGCGAATGATACAGCCAGCAAAATTCATTCACATTTGCCATCGTGAAATGTGCACGCGGATGATGGCAAAGAGATAGGAAAATGAGAGGAAAAGAGTGACCGGATACGCGTGAAGGGGGTGTCAAGAGCATTAGAGATCCATGATTGTGTCGATGCTACAGCTGCCGTAACAAAATGAAGTTGTTGTGCTGTTTTCGAGTTTTTGAGGTTGACATTTTTATTAATATGATTGTTCCGTCGAAAAACATATGAATGTGTACTTTGTATTTGGTATGTGAAACCATGTGCGTGTGTGTGTGTGTGTTTATGTTTATGAACGTGTGAGAGAGTGTAGCATTGAAACGTATCCCAATGTTTATACCGTGTAATCATACACGTCGATGGAACTGCCGAAAAAATTATTATCTACATTGTAAACACAAGCCATGAAATGATGATATGATGAGACTCAATTTCTCTCCAACGCATCGCTCATTCATTCATTTTCCCCACGTATCTCTCTCTCTCCGCCTCTCGAAATTTGAAGTTTTTCATTCATGGCATGCATTTGACAATATGGGCATGTGAAAACAACTCCACATTCAATAAAACTAGTTAATTTTATGTCGCGTAAATATATATGTAATTTGAAATTTAAAAATAAAATTCCCGAAAAAAAAGAAACGATCCATTAATATAGAATATTCGCTATTTAGTTGTGTGAGTCTATGTTTTGCGTGTACGTTAAGCGCCCATGCTCCTTGTTTGTACATTGTAACACATTGAATATATCAGTTCCAATTTAATATGTTCTCATGAAGAACGGCATTTATGGCTAATAATGAAATTTATTGAATTTTACGAATCATTAGGAATGCTAAATAAGTGTGAACTTCATGCATATTACGCAAGTGAGGCTGAAAATAAATGAGCACAACGGTTTGTTTTGTGTGCATGGATCGACTATGTATGTATACATTGTGCACAAATTCATTTTGCCAAAGAACACATGAATATTCATGCATAATTTGGGTAAAATTTAATTCCAAAAACATTTTTCGGTCATCGCGTTCAGGCATTAACTTCCTTATAAATCGGAAATGAAATTGTTTTCTCACACAACGCCAACAAAAATTCGGAACCAAACCATGAAAAAAAAGAAAATTGATATATCAATTATTCGATTATTATATTTATGATGGTCCAAACAGCTGTTAAATACAATTTGCATTGTTTCATTTAAGTTTTATACATATTTTGTCGTTGCATTTGCATCAAATAAATAAGAGTTTAATTCGACAATCATTTGCGGCAGATATTGTTGATTTTATCAAAGCACGTCTATTTTTCATCAATTTTTCTACGCTGTGATTCTGATCGTCGCAAAATTTGCATATAAATAAATGCATTATCACAATTGGCAAACACTGAAACAGATTCATATACGAGATATCCGTCTGTATCTGCGTACATGTTATTTTGCATTGTATTGTACGCCAATTGTAACGCATTGCGAACTGTGAGCATATATATATATATATATCTTTTATGCAAACAATTGATTCGCTTATTGAACATCTGCTAACAAATCAAAAATTTACAAGCTCAACAAACTACATTTCTTTCCCCCGCTCACGTTCCCATCTCTATGCCACATCACCAGCAACAAAATAAGCAATACACAAGCAACAACAACAAAAAATATTGAACACTTTAAAATATTCGATATCAAAACTAGAAGCAAGCAAAAGACAACAGAATCAAATAAAGTGCCATGCAAATCCATTTTTCGCCCTTTTATCGCACTCTTTTTTATGCATGTGCAAAATGAATTTTAATAAAATCAGAATAATGTTTTCACACTGTTATTTCACGGTAAATTTACTCATGGAAGAAGGAAAAATTACTCATTCGCTTACATACAATATGAACAATGTTTGTTGGGTACGTGTATATGATGAAAAACATCATATCATTACATTTTCATGGATGCTTACGAGAACGTCTAACATTTGATAGAAACTCTCTCCCTCTCTGAACCTGAATTTGAATTTCATAAGATACGCACACTTCAGATGATTGAAAGAGAAAATAAAATGGATTTACTGTAATAAAAATACACCGTAAATTAAGTAGCTTTATATTGCTACAAATCTGCTTTTTTGATAAATCTCAACCATGAAAAATAATTAATGAATTCCATGTGGATTTGCATCAATGTATTGGCCAATTGAATACTTAAATGATTTCGAAAATTAATATCAGATGGGACCGATCTTTTGGCCAAAGTTCTGTTTTGTGTCGAATTCAATCTTTCATATCGTCATCTAACGAATCACATCATCATGTAATTGTTCAAGAATGATGAAAAGAAAATATAGATAAATAAAAAAAATAAATATAAAATCAGCAATATTTTTAGCAAGTATTTTGAGAATTGTTTGACCTATGGTGATAAGGAACGATGAAGAAACGACAATTCATTCACAAAATTACCAATTAGTAAATATGACTCTCATCTTAACCGTTCATTGCATACGTATCGACATTTGTCAAATAAATGGCAGGAATTATCGTCGGCTGACGTCATCGCTGATGGATCCAATCGCACATATTATTATTATTTTTTTAATTTTGTGGCTACAGTCATATATATTACAATTTTGTTCATCGAATTGCATTTAAAATATTGCTCTAAATGCAGACATCTAACTAAGTACCAAGATTCTGCATCCATCGGTTCTATTCTATTTTAGTATCTTAGATGTTCAAACTCAAAAATCTATCTGAATGTGATCAGGAAATGGTTTGCATATAAAAATCTTATAGTATAATATTCTTATAGCACTATATTTATAGACTATAATTCAATTTTTGTGCACTATACCGAGTCTCCGAGAGTTTCATATAAGCCTGCCATATAGCCGATTAAAGACAGTCGAAACAAAAAAAAAATCGTGGGGATTGGCGTTTGTTCAACATGCATTTAATTATATTGGTGTAAAAATGCTGCATAGCGCGACGCGGTGCCGTATTTGACGTAACGCGGTGTCGCTTTAACGCGAGCATAACGTAATGAACGTTATTTCGTTCTTATAGAGTATAGTGCTATATTATAGCTCAGGGGGATATTCATGCAATTTCTAGTTTCAAAAAGAATTCTAGTTTTTATAGTGCGTGAAGTTGGCCCTTCATATACAATGTGTATAATTTTTTTTACTGAGAACCAACTTCACGCACTCGAAACACTAATCGTACTGTTCTAATTGCTGCTAGTTTCACTAGTTTTTCTAGTATGAATATCCCCTTGTTATAGCTATAAGAATATTATACCATAAGATTTTTATATGCGAACCATTCCCTGAATGTGATCTCAATATAACTATTTCGTGTGAGTTTGCCAGAATTTTCAATATATTGGGCCTGTTGGATTCGGTTTCTCTCTGGTGTTTTCTTTGAAAATGTCATTGTTTGACATTTTTTACAATTTTACTCTTTTTCTCTCTTTGTTTCTCATTTGAGCTTTCTTAACGGTATAGAGATAAAACTATAAAACGAATTTGAAGAACTATTTTTCGATTTATGCGAGTTCTTATAACTTTTAATCCAGATAGTATCGATTTTCAGCTTGGAACCCTCTCCCATAGATTTCTATTTTTGGAATATATTTGAATATCGTATAAAAGTATCTCACACAATTGTTAAATTGGCGCATGTGAATAATGCATTTGATTTTGTGAAAAATCTTTAATGATCAAACAAAATAAAATGTAAAAAAATCAAAACTATTCATCAAAGTATTCGTTTGTCCGGAAGCAAATAGCACAATCTGAATAAATAACTTTGTGTTACTCCATTGGCATGCAATGTTTCATTCCAAAATAAAATAAAATAAAATAAAGAATTTACCGTAATTGATACACGTGTCCTTCACAAGGGTGTATTTTCTCTTGTTTATGCTGGTTATATTTATTGAATGGAAATTTTGATATATATGCACATAATAAATAATGAAAGTACCAAATTTCAAATTGATGCAATTGATATTACATTGTTACGAGCAGATGCAATATACGGATGCAAGCATTTATTATGATATTTGAATTATTATGAATTGTATAGTAAATTCATGCTTTCAATTAATTTGTTTCGTCAATCAAATAACTTTAAACGAATACCGATTGGTCGCTTTTGCAAAACCAATCGGTTCCACACAAATCAAATGTTGTATCATACTATTATTCAAGTAGTTGAAGTTATTTCTCTGTTTATTGTGTGTGCGTCCGAATTTTTTTCTGTTGATGTCTCAGAGCTTTTCAAATTGTAATGTAGTAGCATACGGTGATGATCCATTGTGCCTTAAGTTCTTAAATTCAAGTCATGATAATAATTCGGATAGCGTATTGCGGTTGAAAAGTGAACTCTTGCGCGGAATTCCCTTCGGTTCACTTGTCCTGAAACCAAATATCGATAATTCCGATTGGGAGCACTCGTAACGCCCTTGTGACTTTTATGATATACCATTGAAGTGTGTTTTATACCAAGCGAATAGATTGATTCGAAGACACCATAATTTGCATAAAATTTTTGAATTCAAGTCATTGCGTCGATGTCGTTTTTACAATGAGCTCTTTGTTCTCCATTCTTTACGATTTTATTCGATTTGGTTTTTGTCTCTTTTCACATCGGATGCATCGTTGAATATTAACCAAATTTTAATCTATTTGAAAATGATCTTATTGATTTTTGAAAATAAAAAAAATAATTTTTTTTTGCTTTATTCTTTCAGGTCTGAGTGTTTCATTCTTAATTTTACAAAAGCATCAAAAAGTTCCGATCATTCACCAAATGAAGTACAATTGATACAATCGCATGTCAATTGGCTCATCTGTCGCTATGTTATCAATAATGGACAATAATACAATTGATTTGTTGGTATGCGGAACGCATTTTATGTCAATTTGAAATAAAAACATGTAAAATCATCCAATCATTTCCAGCTTAATAGTCAATTAATTGCTCAGTAGAGAAATAACCATTCAATCAACGACAACCTAAATAAAAATCAACCGCATACACATTGGTACTTTGGGAAAAGGCATTGAAAGCATATATAACCGAACTGAACAGCAGCAACGACTCAAACCATCATTACTGCCGACAACAAAACCTATTGTCTAAGAAAAACCACAGCAAAAATTATCGACCAATTTCGCTGATAGTGAGAACGCGTCAAATTAGCCGAGATATAGCTTGAACAAAAATAACGAATTCAAATGAACTTTGTCTAATCGAACGGCAAAAACTGAACAAGACTATCAGCATCAGTATCAATATCAACAACATCGTCGACAACCACAGAAACAAAGGCGAAAAAAAAAATAAACCACTGGCCATACATCAAGAAGCATCTATCGTAAATTCGAAATGCAAACAATGGCAAGCATGAGTTGGAAGTCGATCGGGTGGCCGTCGATTTGTTTGATGATCCTCCATTTATTCAGTATATGTAAGTAATGAATTTTGTGCCTGTTATGTTATATTCATGCTTTTTTTCTCCGATAATTTCTCATTGTTTCGCCTCGTCGCATGTTTGCATATGTAGCATTTGTTTATGGATTTTATGTATAATATTTGATACACAATAATTACATTCAGTTCACGCCGTCGAACAGTGTTTTAGCGTATACAAAAACCCGTCGTACAATGAGGCGAATCAAAGGCGGTGGTCAGGGGAAATAGCGAATAGCGATAATAAGTATGTGAGAGCAGGCGGAGAGAGAGACTGCGAGCGATAGCGAGAGTAATGCTTGATTTGTTGGAATTTCGCTGATAATGCGGCGTTTGTGTTGAATTTTTTTCGCATTTTTCTTTTGCTTCTGATTTTTTCCCTATTTATTTTATACATGTATTTACTCTCATAACATGAGTGCTCGATTGGCGCTATTGTTGTGTCAGTTTGTAGTAAATCATCATTTTTTATTAAACCATACCTAGGTTGGTGCTAGGGTGAGCGAAGAATGTGCAAAAGTAACCACACAATCGGCTGTGAAGAGGTAGAGGCAAGATGAATGATTTAAGGCAGCCAACAATGCGAATATTTGCCCGTCACAAAATAAATAAATATCGCTTCAAGGAATGGCTTTTTTCTGCTCTTGCTTTCCATCTCTTTTGGATATTCTTGCATTTTTTTTTTATCTCGCTCTCTTTCTCTAGCGTTCAGGTTTTTTTCCACCATCAATGATTACTATTATCATGCTCTGAATAGAATGAAAATCAAGAATGAAACACTTCGACACTATAACACACCATACAATATGATATGTGCTTTTAGTGGCGACACCAATGAAAAGCACGACGCCGAGGACAAATGTAGAAAGAAAAACGAGAATAAGCTGAAAAGAAGAAAGTATAAAACACTGGATGACACAAAACGAGCACATACACATACGAAATAAGAAAAAACGCACAGATCGTTTGAAATATTACCTTAACCTGCAATGTGTTTAATTTCCGTTCAGTATCTTTGCTCTACCTGTTCCTATTGCCATTTCCATCTTTCAATGTTACGACCACACACAAGTAATAGTGCAGTAGCAGCACATTAACAAACATCTTTTGTCAAGTGAATGTCTACAGCCAAAGCGCATACATGGGAATCTGTACGTTCAACACTTATATGCACACTCGCATTGGCTCTTATGAGAGCTTTCGAAATAGCGTTTCACATTTGAACAAAAGCCATAGAATGGAAAACAGAAAAGAATATGCAATATCAAATAAAAAAAAAACGAAGGAAAGAAAGAAGGCAAATGATGCTGCACTAACCGAACAAACCACACCGTAATACATATATTTTATTATCGCTACGTATACTTATACAGATAAATACATACACACGAACGATTCGTCTTCCTGGCTGGCTGAATGGCTCCTTTCTCTTTTCTCGCTTTCTGTGCTTTGGCGTTCCATATGGCAACAGAATACGCGATGGGTCTTGTCGTTTTGTGTTTATTCCCGGCATCTCTTGATCCCACATCTTACAATCTTTTTCGATTTCACCGATAATATTGAATTCAATAGAAATTTTTGTGCATGGAATTTTATTAATTCGCTGTTCGCTGACAATATGTCAAGCTCAAGATGTTGAAATACCATGAAGATATTGAATGTTGTTGTTTTTTTGCACGGTAATCATGAAACCAAGCACACGCCGTATATGCTCGTACGATGATCTTCTTCTTTTCATAGCACTTTGTCTCCGTGTGTGTCTTCGTCTTTTTTCCTTTGAATTTTTATTATTCTCTTTTTGTTGTGTCAGGATGAAAGAAAATGTTTTTTAAAGGCATTGCATTGCCCGAGTAGAAAGAAAAAATGTTTTCGATCGAAAACAAACACATTCTCTCGCTCAAAATGATGACTGCTGCATTGTGAGTTTCATAGTACCGTTGTGTAGCATGTATTAGACCACATCTAAGCGTATTTTTACCTAAATTTATTCCATGACCGTCGTTATTGTCATCGTCGTTGGTTTTATTATCGCTTCAGTTTTTTCTCATATACATAACACACAAAAATTTCTTCTTTTTTCCTTCATTTCTTTTTTTTTATTATTTTTACAGCAATTTTACACTTTTTATTTATGCATCAAATGGTGAGAAAGTTTTATTGTTATTTCCAAATTTCCACCGACAAACAATGACAATATCTACTAAGTCTATTCAATATTCACTTGAAGTGCTATAAAACAAAATTAATCAATGGATCCCCCCTATCTAAACAAAGTCAACTGTAAGTAAATCTGCTTGTGGTAGTTTTGTGGTTGGCTAATCCAAAATAAATAACAACAACAATGTTTCATATAACCATTCGGTCGGTGATTTTCGTTGAATATGCTCATTTCTTTCAATTCTTGATGAAATCAACATGAAAATAAGGAAATGAGATGACTTGATGCTCATCTAACTCACATCTTTGATAGATACACAATATACATGTTATACATACAGATTGGTCATTGTGAAGTGCACGGTGTGTGCTGGTGTCGCACGTGCTTGTCATCGCCATGGGAGGATCTCACTTGTCAAAATCCACATACACAATTAAAGTGATGGAACAATAAATATAAAATTATTTTTGTTTTCAACACTTCACCCTTCTTGTAATGTGATGCGTGTATCTTTTGTCATGGACATACAACATCACGCAAAATGCTTTACGCGATGTTCTTATATTTGTTGTTCGCTTACCAGCGACAACTGCTCACGCACACCAAACGAATACCATCGGCTTATCACGTATTTTTCTCATTTATCATTTTGATGTGCATTTATCCCCACTCACAATAAATTGAGCTTTTTTATACATGCATGAAATAGTATTGAGTAGGCTTTTCAAACTGATTTCTCTTCATTTTAATGTGTGGCATTCCGAAATTGATGTGCGTTGCAACCAAGATTTGCGAAACAAAAAAACGGAAAATTCGTCTGTATGATGGTATTTGAACGGTTCAAATAAAACGATATATTCTATATATAATCTGTCTGTATCAATGCGCTCTTGACAAACAATTGTGATTTTAGATTGAAAATACATTTAAAACCAACGAACGTGCATCGTGAAGCGCACCCACATTGACATCATGTATTTGGCTTGGCCGAGACGAGTCAAACAAAATCACAACAAATGGACTACACGCATATTGTGTAGCATGTAGATTTACAATGCAAAATAATAACGACAATGTTTTTGTGTCTCACTGCTGAAAGAAAATGAAGGGAAGGCAAATGTGTATACAAAGTATGAAAGAAAAAACTTAAAAACAAAATAAGCATTGTTTTTAAACATTCCTTTTCTCTATCTACGAAACAATACCACCGGAAAGCTCAAATACAGTTCACTGTGCGACACCGTCCATGGCCAGTATTCAAATCAAAACAAAAGACGACAACACATTTACGGTACAGCAAAAGCAAGCCAGTTCCAATAACAGCAATAGCAAAAGCACATAGCTTTAATATAAAAGCAACATCAGCAGCAACAGCGACGACAGCAACATGAAAATCTTTTTGAGTTGGCGTTCATCAAACACACTTTATTTCACTAATATATAAAAATGACTTTATGTCCGTTGTCTTTTGAGTGGCTCTCTTTCTCTCTCTGTCTCGCTTTTATTCCGTCTCCGTCTCTTTCATTCCTTCTTTGTTCGCCTAAGTAAAACGTTCATTGTCAATGATTGCTATACCATTATACAATGAGATGCAAAAGAAAACGCTTCAACAAAAGCATCATTAATTTCTTTTGTTTCTGTTGTCAAATCCTTCAATCGGATGGAATTATAAGCAGTATCTTTTTAGCTTCTTGTGTCGTTCCATGCTGGTCGACAGCGGAAGAAAAAAAACACTTAATTTACTAACGTTCAATGCAGCTCAATACGAAAATTGGCAATAAATTACGTTTTTTTACGTCTGAAAAAAATGGAACAACAGCCATAGCACTGAAGCATCTGTTTTCATTGGTGCCATTTCGTTTAATCGTTTTGCAATAGAATAAATTTAACGCATATGCATTAAAAAAAACACGACGAGAAATATTTGCAAAGTTCCAAAGATTCATTCAGGACTCTTTTTTTATTCGGTTCCGGTTTATTCGTATACGATGAATATTTGCTGATGATCTCCGTAATGGATGTAATTATGTAACGATGTAAATTTCTGAAATGCATGGCAAAAAAATGGATGCTTACGTACGGCAACAAGCAGCTGGCTGTTTGTGAATTTGCTTTGAGCAGACGTTGCTAGTCAGACAGGAATGAGCAATAAAGTGAAAATTTGCAATTTTAAGGTCAATTCAAACATTACTATGCTACACTCCAACATTTAAATCAATCAAAGTCGGACGGATACGCAAAAATTATACGCGTAATGCATTTTTTCACACGAATCAAAGATGAGACACGCGAAACCAAATACGAGTAAGACTAAATGAGAACGAATGAATGAAAGAAAGAGAGATGCAGAGCATAAAATCCAAAGTAAAACGGAAGAGTGCAACAATTACATTTCAACAGAATTTCCGCTGAGGATTGTAAAAAACTTCATAAATATTTTCATGAGTATGAAACACCGTGAGAGAGGTTCATATTCATATCATAGCAAGTATGTTTTTATGATTTTATTCACTGTGTGATGCAGTGCTGTATTTTTTTCCCTCTTCCTTCACTCGTTTTGCATCTCACTCGCACTCACCATCGTTGTCGTTTTTGCTCACACTCTTTTCGCCTTCATCGTCACTTTTTTCCCACATTTCTCTCAGGCATTCTTGCTATATTTGTAATTTTTTGTTTACTTTTGAATAACCTTTTCATCTGAAACAGCACTTTTACCTATCCATAGTGCTGGTGAAGCACTGAAAAATGCAACAACAACAATGAGAGTCGAGAACTACGTGTGTCTGGATGAAGTCATGTTTGCGGTTGCAGTGTGCCGGTGTGCTTTGCCTTATTTCATA